TAGAAGGAGACCATTCATTAAGAAGGTGGAGGGAAGGGGGTGTGTCCAAGCTCCACTGTCTCCCCGGGAAAATAAATGTATACACAAGCCATTATTTGTTTGTTTACGAGGTGGCACTGCAGCCGCGATCAAGGGCCGGTTCTCATGCTACAGAGATAATATTAGCCCAGACGCCTGAAGAGGAATCTGTGGACAGAGCGATCACCAGGAATGAAGAGGTTGTTGGCCTGGCAGGCTAGCTGTCGGCCTGGCAGGCTAGCTAACAGCCTGTCTCTCACTCAGAGCTGTGGATGTACTCAGTGGAAGCAATTGATACCATTGTTTTATGGAGAGGAGGGTGGAGTGGGATTAAGGACCGACAATAGGGCTCTTTCTCTGTAAATGTCAGCCGTCACGCCGAGGGACTGTCCGACTGGGCAGAGACACTTTAAAAAAAAAGCCAAGGTAGAAAATGAGTGTGGAAAATAGTATGAAACCCTGTGACGAGGGCAATGAAACAGTGTGACATGGGCCAGAACATTGCCGTGCCAAATGGTCGAAATGCAATCTCAAACATGGGACAACGGGCTCTGGGAAACTTTACAACGCTGATCATGTGAGATCCAACCAAACAGAAACACAAGGCCTTCAATTTATTGTTTTTTTCAGGATCTGTCTGTCTTAAAGAAAAAAATCAGTACAACTCCGCAGATATATGTGTCAATGATTTCAAGGTCTAGCTTGAAACACATTCCAAATCAATAACCAGGATAATAGGTTATATGGGTCTTTAGCTCAGCCTCATTAGGAAAAAAGGAGACAAATGTGGCCTAAATCTTCAGGCAAATTAACATAGTGAGGAACCTAAAATACCACAACCGATGATCCATTCTGGGCCATTTTATCATAAGACTACACAACGGAGAGATACAAAGTTATCTCTCCGAGTGCTTTGATAACCCCGCTGGCCTTGGACCTCTTTGAAAATCTCACTCTGAAGGTTTGAGGTGAATATAAAGTGCGAGTTGAAGTGAGGTACCCTGCCGCTTTAAGACTGGGATGAAACCGAGTTATTCTACCGCTCTGACCTAATTGCTCTCTCGCTCTCCCGACATGAACACTGGGAGCTGTGCACTCTGACACGTAAAGATTATTTAATACCATCAAAGCCATAAAAGAGGAATAAAAGGCGGCAGTGAGAAAGAGGGGGGTAGTTAACCACTGGCAGGCTGGTAGGGCTGGGGTGTCCACAGAGTGATGAGGAGAGCAGCAGAGAGAGTATCAGTATGCAAAGCGGGCCTGCGTTACTGCCGCCGGCCGACGTGAGCGGAGCTCCATCATCCCAACATCACAGCGGCTCCAAAACTCCCCCTCCAAAAAGAATCCCACTCGGCTCCGGCTACACTCTCCCGGTATTGGCTCCCACCCTTCTTCTCTCCTGCCTTTTTTCCCACACTCGCCCAAGTCCCTAAGGCAGGGACTACGTCATTGGGCACCACTGCCAAACCACTGTAATATACCGTTTTATTTCTACTTATTCAGACAGAGTTGTAGGGCTCTTTCATTAAGGTCAGGCTGGTTTTATTTGTGTAAAAGTACATTGCTTGGTTACACTGAATTCCATTTGTAGACTGTTTTTCTACAAGGCCAAAGATTGACAAACTATTGGCAAATCAAAGTCAGAATCAGAGTCAAGTTTTAGTCAAGGTTTACACATACAAGAAATTTGCTTTGGCGTCTGGCGTTGGAAACATAAACCATCTAAGGAAATAAGTTGTAAGCGTAGGTCAAAAAATATAACGATAATAAAAAATAAGCTATTTTTAAGAAACTATTTATCATCAAAAAAGAATAAAGACAAATATTTAAACCAAATGTTTATTTAAATATACAAAAGAACCTAAGAAAACCTATGACAATGAATCTATGACACACTACAGTGCATTATATTTTTAAGCGGAGATCAGCACATCACATCATAAAAGCTATTCCACCGGAAAGCAAAACGCTAATTCTGCAGTGTGGTTTTTCTCTTTAAGAACTTCCTGAGCTACTAGCAGGCAGAATCTGACAGGGTGTGTGGGTGGGACTGGGTACCGGTGTTTACCGTTAAGCGAGCACTGGGTGACATCTCCAGGGTGCCCTGCCATTGTGGGGAGCATGTCTCATCTGTCAGTGCCTGATGAGTTTGTGCTGCACAGCCTCATGAGTCAGCCGTGTGCGTCTACAACAGGGAGCCGGCTGCTGCTGAGGGCCAGGCTGTGTGTAGACCACCACACACCAAAACCACCTGACACACACTGAGGGGCTTCTCAGGGAAAGTGAGGTCAAGTGCCAAAAAAACAGGAGAAGCTTGCTAAATCTGCATTTTCACCCCTCTCTATTGGTGCCGTTAACATGTTATTCGTGAAGGGTGATATCTTGTGACCGAGATCAAAACGATTTTGTATGATCAACAATGTGGTGACCTACTGAGCTGAATGGATGACACCTGGCTATAATCCGAGAACGGGATAAACACTGCGCCCGCTTTTTTTATTTGCCATTCAATATGAAAAAAAAAAGGTCACTTACAACATCTACATTCAAAGTACAAAGCATGAGGCTCGCTTTAACCATGGCCGTATAGATACAATAAATCATTTGGAGTAATTTAATGAATACATAAAAAAACAGAAGAGGGGTCATTCTTGTCAAATGACATGTTAGTAATGATTTTAAATACAAAAGATGTAACTTCGTAACATAACAAAATAGAATTAAAAAGATGATAGTGTTCTCTACCTTGCACATTGAGTAATTCTTCCATAAGAATGTATTATTTTTGTATTTCTAAGCATTTTTTAAGGAAATACTTCCTACCACAACATGCCCAGCTCTGCCTGAATGGGTGCTATGTTTCAGTTTAATAGACCCAATTAAATAAGACCTTGTTTTTTACTTTTCAAAATAACATTTCCATATTTGAAATATTTGGATTTTAGGAAAACCACCCAGAGCGGAACCAGCCGGCAGATTGACCTGCCAGTGCCAAGTATTCTCCACACAAATGTATCTTTTATCTAACCAAGTCATTTGTTCCACATGTGATGAGAAAAACAACATTAATAAATGTGACTGAGCTAGGAGCCACTGACTCACTACTACTGTGTTTTTTGAAGAACAAAGAGGGAGAAAAAAGTCCTTTCCAGTGTCATTCACACTTGACTCTACAATCTGCAGAGGAAGGAAAGGACGTTGGGAGGGAGTGGGGGATGTGAGAGGGCAAAGCAAATGTGCCACTGCCACCACGATGATGACGATGACACATTTAGTGCCATTCGAGGCTGAGGCGTGCGAGGCCTTAAACTGGCACAGCTCACACACAAGAAGAATACCTACTTCCCGTTGACGACTGTCGGAGAGGGTTGACAGTATCACAAAGAAACTGTGCATTGTGCTGCGTATCAGAACACCGCTGCATTTTGAAAAAGACGTTTAAAAAGACATTTAATTGCTTGGTTATTCTGTTTGGTTGCAGGAAAAGATGCCAAATAATTTCTGTTTTAGTAACAGCATGATAAAAAAACATGTGACTTAAACATTTACGTTATAAAACATCTCTAAACCTCAATTATAATCATATGTGACAGTTCAGAGGGCAGGGTAACAATCTTTCCTTGAGTTTAAGATTCACCAATTTGCCAACGGCGGTGGCACAACATTTAACTGTGAATCACACCAAGAGGAGGTGACAGGGTGGGAAAACCCACAGACACACCAAATTTCCCGCTGAGTGAATGGTCCTCTAATGCATCTTGCTCTAAATGTCACAGGTTGTCACAGGAAAGTGCAATTTGTTCTTCAAGCCTCACCCCACAACAACAACAAAGTCTGCAGCCAGTACTATATAAGTTGAGTGAGCCATTATAAATCAGTAGTAGTGCCATAAAATATCATTCAACCAAATGCATAAAGTGCACAGACTTATAAGAGTACTTAAATAAAAGGGAAAGATCTAGAAAGTGCTCATTACAGCTGTAAATTAGGGGTAATGCAACACTGTAATCTGTGGTTAGGGTTAGGGTAGTTAGGGTCTATTTTACAAGATAACACTGATGATTTTCTGATGCTGCAGACAGGGTATGTAACTCGCATATTACAACAAGAGTCCTGACATTCAATTTGCCAAGATCCAGACATGTCAAATTAACACATTATCTTGACAGGTGTTAATCAGGGGTGTGAACAAATTGGTGCCACATATCCGTCAGTTTCCAGTGTTGCTTTAAGGCTCTATTTTCAGAAGAATGCATGTGTATTTTGGGTCATCAAGTTTGCAGCTCAGTATTAGAGCACAGCAGAAGAATGCAGGCTGTGAGCTGTGCATCCATACAGAGGAGAGGAAGCTCCTGATATGATCCTTATCAACGGCAGAGTATACTATGCACTCAGGCAAAGTTCACCTACAGCATAAAGTACACCACAAAGAAGCAAAATAGATGCAAATGTGCAAAAACACGACGCCAAAAATACATTTGACTCCACATTCCGCTGTCCTGACGCTGCAAAAACAAACAAGTGGGTGCAGACGCTCAACACTGCATGTTTTTAACTCTTTTTAAACACTTTTTTTTTAAATGCCAAGCTTTTTTTTAAATGCCAAGCTACACAGTCTTGGCTCTTTTAAGTGACAAGAGGAAACTGTCAGCGGTAAAAACGACCCTGCATTTACAAGCTATTGAGGAGCAGAGGAGCGTTAGCTGTGCATGCTAGCCGCCCAGTCGTATCAGCTGAATATACTCTTTTAAACACAATTAGCTTTCTTTTGTTGTGTTGGCCAAAAATTAGCAACTTGACAGGAGTTATGCAGTCCGTTTTCTGACAATGAACAGCGTTAAAAGAAAAATACCCTGGTGCACAATATCACTGTGTCCATGCATGGCGCATTCAAAGCCCCCCAGGTGAAACACGGCTTCCTCCTATAGAGGCTGACACCGCATGCTGTCAGATGTTGACAAGCTGTCAATGGATGGTAATACCTGGGACCTGTTGACTCCTCCTCCTGGTCCCCTCGGGCTGCTGCTGCTGCTGCTGCTGGAAGTTCACCCGTGTTTCTCCGCGGTGGTACTCTCTATAAAGTTTTCTTCCGGCTCTCAAAATCTGCAAACAGTGGCTCTCACGGGTCCCCGGGTGTCATAAACCACCGAAATGGGCAAAAACCGCGCGGTGCGGAAAGAGACGGAGAGCCGCTTTTCAGAGAGAGGACAAGTTTGGCACGGCTCGCGCGGAGGCAACCATTGCAGTCACGTTCTCCGGCAGTGAAATCCAACACTGACTCTGACCCCGCCCCTTTGCTTTTCACTGGGCCAGTCCTCAAAAAGTGCTCCCTCCAGATGTGCTGAAACCATGTGAGGCAACAAGAAAAGTGCAGTACTCTTTTAGTTGCATTTTTTTCATCCTTTCTTTATTTTTTTGCTCATAGCTTCTTTATGCTTCGCCAAACTGCACAAACTCTCTTTTCTATTTTCAATCCAGCAGCCGAGACCAGTGATGGATAGTATAAAAGAACATTTACTCAAGCACTGTACAATTTTGAGGCACTCCACTACATTTCCAAAGCCAATATTGTACTTTTTACTGCTCTAAACAGCCTTTGTTACTAGTACTATACCAAATGTAGATTATTTATGCTTCACCAAAATGCAAAAACTCTCTTTTCTATTCTCAATTCAGCAGCCAGACCAGTGATGAATAGTTACAAAGTAGCTACATTTACTCAAATACTGTACTTTTATTGACAGCTTTTGTTGCTAGTTTATTTTTAGGTTTAGACTATTAGCTTATACAAAATCTAAATCAATGATTAAATACACTTTGACATATATTTATAGGTTAAGATATCCAGCAGCAGTATGTAAAGTTATTCCAATTAGCTGTACATTTACCAGTTGTGATAAAAACACATGAATAATCATAATAGTTACCCAGAAACTCAATATAAGATTCTGAAAAAGGCCATTACGCATAAGGAGTACTTTTACTTTTGGTACTTTAAGTATATTTTGATGGCAATACTTTTATACTTTTACTTAAGTAAGATGTTTAATGCAGGACTTCTACCTATAACAACGTACGTTTAAAATGTAGTATTGCCACTTTTACTTAAGTAACACATCTGAGTACTTTTTCCACCTCTGGCCAAGACTAAAGAGAGTTTCTTGAGTTGTAAAATAACTGTACTTAACCTCTAATGTAAGGTCAAAGTCAATGGGCTCCCCAGTGAATGTGTGATTATGTAACTTTTGATTTTTTAAAAGCTATGCATCCAAACTCAGGCTTGCAACAGAGAGTGTAACAAAGCCAAAGATATTAAAATAATCATTTTACAAAAGCCTCAAGATATGGAGTTTTGGCATGACATAGAATATAATAAAATAACAATGCATTCATTATATAACCACGGTGAGTAGCATCTACATATACAAACTTAAATGCCTCGAAAAAATGACATCTTGCATAAATCATGTTTCCTTTTTCTATTTTGTCATTCCTTAAAAGCTTATATCAACTTATAAAATGTCAACTCTTTATCATCGCTGTGAGACACCAGAAAACTGGAGAATTTTTCAGATTTCATTATGTATCATTTTTATAAAATGTTAAACGATCTGGCTTTTCCTGCATTGCGTGACTACGCTCCTGCCCTGCTGAGAACACCATTAAAGGCTCTAAAATATCTTCCATCACAGATTGTGCTGTACCCTTTGTCACAGTGCATTTGGGCAGGCAGCTCCTTCTGTTAAACCCTGCACTCAGAGGAAGCTGCCAGTTCACATCAAGAGCTGCAACTCTTTTATATTCAAAAACAAATTATACATTTGTCTTGCAGCAACCCAACAATGTGCTGCATTTATACTCTGCATTTATACTAAACCCTTTTTGATTGTGATAGTTGAAATGCTTCTATAATTTACATTTTATTCATGTGCAATATGTTAAATGAGATTTACTGTTGTGCATTTCTCGTTTTGTGAGAAATGTCATAACTGTGGATGTTTTAATTGCGAATGAGAAACAAATGCATGTGAAAAAGGAAGATAGCTCACAGAAAATAGTTTCTGTAATATGTAAGCAGTTACTTAAGACAAAACAAGTCACATGTTTTGTGTGCACAATTATACCCATCGAGCTATATATTTTCTTCTCAATCAATTATAAATTGGTTGTGTTTTTGCCAATTACTCACTAACAGCTTAAAAAATATTAATAATTCTCGTCTTTATTTATATTGTACATTAAACCCCCTTTTTATATTTACAGCACTGATGAGACAAATGGTCGATTCCAGTCAGCTAAAGTTGTGGTAATTGTCTAAAAATTACAGTTTAGTGTCTATAAGAATAATTGGTTAATCAAAAATGTCAACAATAGTTTGATAATACTATATAATAGTTGTTAGACCTACTGTGTGTGCATCTGTGTTTGCGTGCGAAGGAGTTGAGTAAAGGTAGAGCTCAGGTTCTCTCCTGTCTCTCAGATATGACTGCAACACTCCGCCCCAGAAAACAAAGTTTTGCGGCAGGTGTTAAGATGTGACACCCATTGTCCCATATGATCGGACAAAACGCCACCAGATAGCTTGTGACATACTTTGCCTCGTCGTTTACCTTCTCAGTTGCTTTTCATCTTTCCCTGGGAGCGCTGACACCGCTACAGAGGGAGTGCGGGCGACAGTATCCTCCTTGTTTCCCCTGTTGCCTTTAAGGCCCTCTTACACAAAAGCTGTGAGTGGCACTAAGCTGTGTCAGTTGTCACACATCACCACACAAGTGAGGAATGCAGTGCTGGGGGTGGTTGGTTGTGACATGGGACACACAGGCATGCGAGTAACCATGGACTGAGGGAGTTGTCAAATGCTAAAAGTATGTAGTGGTGGAAGTAGCTACTGTCATAACAGTGTAGTTGCAGAGGAGGAACTGTCTTATTTCACTGCATTCTGACAGGTGGACCTGGGGCCCAGCATGCGTGAGTAGCATGTGTTCAGATGGGCTCGCCCGCTTTTACTAAACTGCAGCATGGGGATTTGTATTTGTAGTGTTTTTGTTTCCTCTACATATCTTTAGGTTGAATAGTAGGGCCTTGGGGGTCTCCTCCGCCCAGCTGCATCCTCCACTTGTAGCACACTGGAAGTAACTGGAGTTGAATCTTAATGGCTTACCGGCCTTGTGAAGCTCCCCGCTACTTTGAGATACATACTGCATTTCAACATGTACTGTACAGCCATGAAGACATGTCAAGCATAGTTAAAAGCCGTGTGATGCATGTTTCATTTCATGCTTTACATAACCTAACTGCATGCAAGCAAACCTCCAGAATGCCAGACTCAAGGCATTCGTTTTGTGTCTGGCTGTACGGAGACAGAAAATCTGAATTTGGGCATGCTTCGAAGATCCAAGATTGTTAATGCTGCCCTTAAACTATATAGACTAGACAGACATTGACATGAAGGATTACGTACAGTTTGCATACATAATGTAGGTCTCTGATTTAGGTCAGTGGAACACTTACTGGTTAGTAATCTTTCTTTTCAATTTGAGATAGCTACATTCATTACTTCAGTAGTTCCCAAGCTGAGGGCCAGAATCCCTCAAGGGGCCAGACAATCCCAAGTTGATTAACAGAGGATAGGAAAACAAACAAAACTATACATACTACATAAAATCCTGCTTATTTTCCAGACTATCCTTTAATGTTAGTTTTTTTATGGTCATGGATAGTAAGATAATTTGACCTTTTACCATTTAGTCCTCAGAAAAATATCCAAATAAAGTAAGGAAAATAAAATTATGATGGGTCACTGGTACATCTGTTTGGTTTTAAAGGAATCGTTGGATGAACAAATAGAAACCACTCACATTTCTGTACAGTAGGCTTAAATATGAAACCATTGCTAACAGCCAAATGTAGTCTGGCTCAAACCAATGGTAACTTAACCCACCTACTATTACCTCTAAAGCTAACGTATTGATTGACTTACTAGCAAATTATATCTTGTTTGTGTAAATGCATGACTATGTCTTACAGGCTATTGAATTGTATTTTTTAGCTGGAGCTTGTAAGCGGTCTCCTTTCCCTGAGTTATTGTTATGCTAACCGTTACTTTCAGCAAGGCAGCAAATAAGCCCATTTAAAAAAAATGGTTTTTATTCCTTTAATAAGTCATCAAAACAAAACTGCAACTACCTAACATGAACAAAGTCCTCCATGCTGAATGCTGCCTTAATCCTGTGAATCCCTCCTATGAAAACTTGACATATTCTCTGCAGAAGGTCATTGTTACAGGACTGTAGTTTAACGTTTCTCTCATGTTTTTATTTTTACAAGGCACCTGGTGAGCCCCTTAGCAGGTGCTATGTTTCCGCCTCGAAACGCCGTGTGCTTATTTACTGTCCCTTGAAAATCCAGTGCTATTTTCAAAGTGGTGGTAACATTAGCCTGCCTGATCGATGCCTTCACCTCGAGCGTGGGGCCACATACCACATATCATGGCCTGGTTCACAGAGAAAAAGAGAGGGTGGCTCCACGTGTCGCCCACACCCAACAGAAACATTTCCAGCACCCAAAATGTCATTGGACAATTACAGTGAGGCGTCTTAGGCATTGAGGCAACATGAGAGCCCAGGGTCTGACGTCAGAAGGGCTGGCAGTCTACCAGCCTTTCTTGGTATATACATTCGGATCTGAGAAACCATGAAGGTGCCAAGCCTTGTTGGTCAATCACCATCCACAGTCCTTTGGCTTTTAATTTGTCCAGGCTGCTGTTGCCTTCTTGAAAACACATATTTATTTGGATTTCCCAGCAGCCAACCATTCATCACTCTGCAACTCCCCTTTATTAGCTTGTCATCCACAGTGCAGGGTAATGTTGAAACCACAAAGCAGCCAGCATAGAAAGCACTTCAAGGCAAGGATGAAGGTTAGACGCTTGGGCTAAATAAGAGTCTTTTTTAGCATATCAACATAAAATGAAGATCACACCACTTGGATGCTTAAAGAAAGCTTCCTTGCCAGTAGCAAAAATGTGCCACCCGTGTCTGTAAGTTTGTCTGGGCAGGCGTGCTGAAAAGCCACATAGCTTCCCCATTGGTTCACTTCATGGCGCTAGGTTGTGAAGAATAAAGAAGAAATGAGCATGGGGAAAAAAGCCAGTGCAGATGAGATTGTATCAGCCGCATGGAAACAGTTAGCCAAGCACCAAAGCTTCCTTTGAACTGCGAACGGCTGTTAAGAAACAGCTTTCACTCACATTCAAATAACATG